TTAGTGGTGTTACTGCAAAAATTCAAACTGATGACTCTGTCTACTTCAGTGAATCCAGTATTTCCTGTTTCCTGACTGATTTCCCTCCCAGTGTCCCCCACTAATGTAGCCTCCAGTATTCATCCAACTAATCAGCTTTGTTCAACTCCTTGTGTTGATATGGCTATCTAATGTTGGGGTTTGTGGATTGTTTTTTTGAATATATAAAAATTTTGACACATTTCTCTCAGAAAGACTATGTTTATCAGCAACAACTTCTCTGTGACATGGTACCCTATTTAGATTTCTTTTCTCTACATAGTGTACTGCCAGAGAACATTCAGCAGGCTTGTGAAGAACACCAGTCCTAGTTAATGCAGAAAAATGTTAATAATTTATACTGCAAATGGTATCGTTTAAAATCCTCCATTGTGGGACCAATCTGATCATACACAAAATTCAGATATATTTAAATCTTATAATTCTAACAGACCAAAATTGGCATTACTCAAAAACGTGTTTAAGTAAGCTTAATCTTAAGAGCTTAAGATTTTACTTCCTTTCTTGATGTACAACCCCTCTTGCACTGTCTCACCACTTCACATAATTTCTTTCATGTACAGCTCTCATACTATAAAAAAATATATTATAGTTGCCAGAAACATTAAGACAATGGTTTGCAAATATTAGTGACAGACTTAGAATTATGGATTTACCTTTTTTTTCCCAAATACTTAAGCATTCTGCAGATACTAATCTACACCATTTTGCACAGGAACTATGGCACACTAAGAATATCAGTATAGGGTTTTTCAAGCATTAAAATCACCTCCTGTGAGTTCTGAGTTTAACATCACCCTTAGAGAACCAGCATCTACACAGGATTTCTTCAACTTGAACCTATGGGCACGCCTGATGTTCAAATCTACTTGCTAGCATGTGACCAACTGTACTGGTGTTTGGTATACAAGAAATACGTAGACTAACCTAATTAACACACTTCCCAACAACAGAAAACAGTATTGAAGCTCGAACTATTGAAGTGTGAGATAATCTTTATTAAAGATCTGAGTTTCTCACAGCTTTCACAGACCAAGTAGACTACAAAAATGATGATTCACTTATTACTGATGTAGGCTTCAGTATATTTGACTGGACAGTTAGTTTCTCAGTTTTTACCATGCGTGAAAGAACTTAGGTTTTGCATTGTAATTTGAGGGAGAACCTGCATTGTTACTACCATTTACACATCTATATGGATTTAGTTTTTATTTTGGGAATTTAATGCTGCTCACATAAAAATAAACACATTTCTGTGATTTTTAACTACACTTCAAGGCTGTTGCAGTCACAAAAAAGACTCAAAGTGAACCTTAGGATGGCATGCCAGTAACTTGACATTCTGATTACAATTTCTCAAGTTTGAAGGAAAGCGAACTATCTCCACACACTGACACCATAACAAGGACTAGCAAAGGCAACTGCAGGCACAAAATTAACCCCAACATCTGAAAACGTATCTGACATTATCCTATTTTTATCTACCTTCAGTGCACTTGATGCAGACTCCTGCAATGCCTCTTAATTGAAAAGTCTTACTCTGTTTTCCAGTTATGCCAAAAATCTATCTATTGAGCAATGCGTTTCTTCATCGCAGACATGTACTGTACCACTAGCTACAGTACTCTCTATTTTTTGTTCCAGGAGCTGAGTTGCAGGACACAAATTACAATTTTCTATTTAATGACAAATAACGGTATTTCCACTTCACTAAAAGGGCCTTCCAGTAAGACATTTTTAATCAGTATGATTAACAAGGAACCTAAAGGCCACATCAGATCAAGGGAAAGTACTACATTATAAAAACAAAGGCCCTAAATTGTAAATTTCAGAAAACTGTGATAAGCTGGCTAAGGAGTTCAGAATCTCTTCTTGTCTTATTATCCCTAGTATTGATTGAAGTCTCTCCACCTTGAAATTGTTGGTGAGGACAAATCTATTGAGTCTCATTAAATCCAGCACAGGAATGAAGTCCCTGGAGCATTTGGGACCACTAAAACAGATGCTATACATTTTAGAAAAATATTCCCTATCCTTGAGAATGAGAACTACAGCTGCAATATGAAATAGATATCAATTTGTTTCCATAAATGCTGTAATGTAGAGGAGTTATTGTAGAACACAGCACCCTTAAAATTTGTACTTAAAGAAAAAAAAAAAGGTAGCAGTATGTCAAGTCAACACAACTTGATAAAACAGATTACAGATCTTCACACGTGTATGCTGCCCATTAGAGCCAGACTTGGAAGAAAATTTGAGGTCCTCAACAGATTTACACATAATCCAGTGCAAGTTCATGACCTTGATCTGGTTTATCAGAAATGTTTTTTCTTTTATTGTCTACTGTTTTGTACTACACATTATCATCAGCACAAAGAGCAATTCTTCCTAAATGGTAGACTGTTAAGATGAACTTGCAATATGTGAGCCAACCACATTGCCTGAGCTATGGCATATACTGCCTATCTGACCACTAACAGAGAGGTCATTGATCTTGCTGTAAGGGACAATATATCATAGGATGTACACACTGATAGGCTCAATGCCATTTGGAGCAGTAGGAAAATATTCCTTTGTGAGTATGTCTATGAAATAGCTGACACATCCTTATCTAGCTGTTGCAGCCTGCATGTTATTAATGCATGGAAAACAATCAGAACACACATTTGTCTGCAATAGTTTGCCTTTCTCATTCGAGGGAAAAATAGGCATTTGTATTATTTTTATAGATGCTGAGTTTTCCAAAGGCCTGCTGTGACTTCACTAGGACTGCATATCTTGTGATTTGGAAAATGCATGTTACTTTGAAGCAATTACAGTTGGGTATTTTATACAGTTCTTCTAATCAGAAGTATAGAACAGGACTGTTATAATAACGGAACTCCTTTTCCTGTCTGAAGTTCTCCCCATTCAATTTGCCACAAACATCATTAGATCTATTCCACTCTGACTTAGGGAACAGAATTTTTTTTTTAACTTCTTTTTAATATATACTTTTTAAAAAAAATATTTTTATAAAAAAAGGACATATTTTTTCCAAGTGCGTTAGATGTTTTGATATTTTACAAAAAGACAGCTTATCATTTCCACAATAGTAATTTGTCAGAATATTTGAGTTTGCTTTCGCTAGTTTAAGAGGCAAACCTTACTCCTCCACATTGGAAAAATATTGAATTCAAAACCTCCAAACCAGCAATTTTTAGGGTCATCTGTGAGCTGAAGTATTTCGTAGCTATCAAAAAAAAGGGCTAATCTTCAAAACCACACTATTCGTGTTCTTGTTGTATTACCAGCTAAGCAGAAGTCTTAAGTCCTGCTAAGACAGACCAGGAACTGTGAGAACCAGCTTTCTGAAGCAATTCTGAATTTTGAGCCAAGCCTAGTTCAAAAGCAGCTTGCCGCTATAGCAATATAAGTACACCCATCAATTTTTCATAATACATAATTAACTTACAATAGCAAAATTATTTTTCATAGG